TGCGGTAGAGATCTGCAACCTCGGTCCGCTCCCTGGTGACGAGTGGGGTTATACCGGAATATTCGAAAGGGAGAATGGAGGCGGGTTCTTAACCGACCACTTTCCAAGTGCAAGAAAAGCCATTTGGTATTTTGAAGGAATTTATGCATACTCCCCTCAGATACCAGGTAAAAGTTCTTGTGTGAATGAAGCGTTTCAGCTTTAGATCGTTCAGTAGTCCCATTTCTGCATACCAGGTGTTCGGTTTCCGGGATTAACTCATCCTGGTATAGTGGGAACTGCACCATCAGTTGAGCTTCTTAATATATGGAACGAAAGGGAAAGAAAATTGATTGAGACAGGTCACGAGTCTCTGAAACTGTGCGAAGTTCTACATCAGAGACCCCTTGCTAACTTACCAACCTCTGATAACTGCTTACTTGGAAAGGTACGATGTGCTGCCTCATGAATGGTTCCTTTAACTGCAGTACTTATAATTAGTAGTTAATCTTCTTATGTGGCTCAGAATTCCAGTACAACTGTTTTACAGGCAGATATTAATCTAGGAGATATAAGCTATCTGTGTTAAAAACAGGGGCCTTCCTCCTTCCTTGCATAATGAAATCGGCATTAATTTTACAATGTGAAGGACCTCAGGGACAGACACATTTATCTGCGCTTCATTGAAGTTTAAGGTGTACAGACACCACTTGGAAAATAACATAGTGTTTTATACTCATAAACGTTTTTGTCGGACGGTGAACAGAGATGACCACAGCGCGTAGGTCAAAACAGTCAACTTTATCACCTGGAATCTGAATCATCATTAGCACGCCATTCGATCCCTCCAGGCGATCCTCATTTGTTCACCTCACTTCTTCAGCAGCAAAATGCAGTGCTCTATCAGCTGAGATTGTGTATCGTTGCATAGAAGTTTCCTTCACTGCATCGAGTTTGTCCATGCAGCATGCTCCTCAACACCCCTGGAAACACATATCATTCCTTAGCTTCCATAAACTTCACAATACAGCCAAGTTACATGAGACAATCTCTAATAAACATTAAATAGGTGGCAGGCCAGGTCTGGCTAACAACCACACAGTCAAAGAACAAGTCGGAAAAAGTTCATAATTGATGTCATTGACCTGACGCATGTCGTTAACCATGAGCCAGAAGGAAATGTTGATTCATGTAGGTACTGTAAGCTTCCATACAGCAGGAGTGTATATAGGAACGATCTCACCAAGAATATCGCCACCACATAGGTAGACTGAGCATATTATACTCCCAAAATATAAATTGCCAGCCAGGAAAAAAATCAGATTCACTTGTCAGGTTCGTAAAACTAGCAATCTGAAATCTCAAGTCCTATGTTCATCGATACTTTGTTTAAATGTATATGGCTAAATATAGGTATGTTGACAATGCATACAATGTTTGCAGATTCAAGAAGGGACTGCTGAATGGCAAAAAATTGCAAATGAAGCAGCAAGAACTATTCCTGGAAGAGAGAATGGGGGGAATTGTGACATAAAGAATCTAAGCAGAGGTTCCAAAGTTTATCTACCAGTATTTGTTGACGGAGCAAATCTGAGTACTGGCGATATGCACTTTTCCCAAGGTGATGGTGAAGTGTCATTTTGCGGAGCAATAGAAATGAGTGGATTCCTTGAGCTAAAGTAATTGCCTTTGTCCTTGTCTACACTTTTCAATACTTGTTACATTTATTAGCTTTCAAATTCATCTGGTATCTCATGGTTGTTTACTGGACCTCTTACTCCAAGAGTCGACCAAAAGAAACCAGTCACAACAGCCCAGATCCATTATGTGAGAGAACTTCCCATCATTAGGTTTCACCATTCTTTATCAAGAAACTAGGCTGACACATTACAAGGAAGCATCTCCATAGCTGGTTGCTTGAAACTTGTCAGATTCAGATGGGCAGAGAGAAACAGATGGAGATAGGAGCATAGAAGATGTATTCATTGGATCAAGCTGTATTACGCTATGCCACAAGGCCTACAATAGCTCACTACACTGGTTTAATGTGTCGCGTCTTCATGGTTTTAGGCTGATGCTTCTGTGGCATAGTGCATTACTCGTGGGATCAGACTCCTCCGCTAGTGCATAGCTTATTTCTAACCACACTGGCAACTCATATCACACCTAATAAATTGCAACTCTCAGTTCAACAATTTTGTAGGAGTTGCTGAATTTGCTGGTTAGATAACAAAATCTGTCCATGTGATTTACTTCTCGTGCCATGCTTCTGAAATTCCACTAATTTCACCATCACATTTGTGCAGGTGTGAGATCATAAGAGGTGGGATGAAGGAATACTTGACTCCTGTTGGTCCAACAGCACTTCATGTGAATCCTATCTTTGAGATAGGTCCAGTGGAGCCACGTTTCTCAGAATGGTTAGTCTTTGAGGGCATCAGTGTAGATGAGTCGGGGAAACAGCATTTCCTTGATGCATCAGTTGCATACAAGCGTGCAGTTCTCAATGCCATTGAGTATCTTTCCAGATTTGGGTACTCCAAGGAGCAGGTAGGCAGTAGGTTTACTGTCATCCTGCAAGTATCATGTTAGAAGAACATTATCTTAAAAAGATACAGTATTAATGTTGGGTTATATGCAGGTCTATCTTTTACTGTCATGCTGTCCATGTGAGGGTAGGATATCTGGAATAGTAGACGCCCCTAATGCAGTGGCGACACTTGCGATCCCTACAGCAATATTCGACCAGGTATCCTGCAATAGCCCCAACAAACTGTTTTGTGGACATTTCAAATGATGTGCATTTTATTTATTGCTGTGCATTTTTTCATGTTCTTAATAAGAACAAAGCGACAAGGTTGTGATTCATGCCTTTGGTCTTGATCTTGTATCTAGCTTAAGACATTTGCTTAGAAACCGAAAAGTGGTTCCCATTGACAACTAGCAGAGATATGTGTGTACGTTTTATGTATCACATCAGATCAATATCGATACTGCTAGGTTTAAACCAAAAGCACTGTAAATATGTGCCCAGTTACTCCCTGAAAATGCGAGTCTAATCAGTAATAGGCAGATGTAGTGGTAGTATATAGGTATATAGACTATCCATGTTTCTTTCTCCACTTGCTTAAATTGTCTGAGTTAGCTTGGTTGCACTTGTTTGATGGTTTGCATCATGAAGTTATTTCTTATAAACCAATCTGGATTAGATCAAACAGTCACAGTTAAGGTCAAGTAGAGGTAGATCATTATATCTGTATGTATATACTACTTCCAGAGGTTTGCATGAAGAACTCAGAGAAGTAAGGGCAAAGTAATGCACACAGACAAATTGAATTTTCATCGTGGACATATCGACTTTGTCTACTTGTGATTAATATTTGCCAGTTTCTGGTTATTTTCTTGGTAAATTGTAGCTAACCTTTCTATTGTTTCCCGCAAAAAAAAAACCTTCTATAGTTTGCACACAATCTGGTCCACCCTTATTCAGTTATTTTAAAGGGGCTTCTAGTTATAATGGGCAGATTATGACTCTTGAGAGTATCCCCTTCATTCTTAGGCATTTTGAATATTATGAGTATTTTAATTTTGAACTCCAGTGCATGACATTTCAATTATTTATAGGATATAAAGCCAAAACGCCTGGGGCATGGACCGAAATTGAGAAGACTTCCGGATGTTCTGAGATGAAGGTGCAGTAGACACCTTCCTGTAACACAGGACCAATATCATGTTTAGAATATCTAACAATAAATCTAAATAATCATCTTTAGTATTCCACAACCATCTATGTTTGTGCAACACGAATGTGGACGTGTTGTTGTAATATGGGGTTTCTTGTTTCTCGATACTTGATAATTTATATATCAGACAATCGACGTATATGAAGGCACCTATATGCATATTCTCTATATTGCTGCATAGTTTTGTTATGTAGGTCATGGAGACATTTTACCTGTTATTACTATTGAAATTGAAATTATGCCACTCTCCCAATAAATTGCTGCTCTTCTAGACCTTAATTAGGAAATGCGTTCTCAACTTCAGATGTGAAAAATGGCAAGTGTACATGGGAAAAAAAAATATCTCGGTCAATATATGAGAAGTCACATTACAATCACGGTTTCGGTGTCCCACTCTCTTATTTGTTTTCTGTATCTGTATGCAACTTATAGTAGGTTGAGACAAGTTTAGAGTTTCATTATTTCAGAATTGAGAGCAACCACAAGGAGTTAGAAGTTCTGTCTGAAGTTAGGGGCGAGATGTACGTATGTAGAGCCACTCAGTACTAGATTAGTGACCCTATCCTTCTTTCTTTTAACCAGAGGAATCATTTTGTAAAAATATAGTAAAAAGGAGTAATGTAACATTAACATAGTACCATAGTACAATTAATTGAGTCAACAACAGACAGACATGCATGTAATGTAATCATTGTGATGCCTGAAAGAAGAGGAGTAACTGAATATTGTTGAGGGGTATATATGTAGTATGACGATGCTCCGCTGGAGATGAACACTGTCGCTCCCTCTAACAGAACCAGAGAGAAGAAAACATATACTCCCTCCGTTCCTAAATGTAAGTCTTTCTAGAGATTTTAATGCGAACTACATATGGATGTATATAGACGTACTTTAGAGTCCAGGTTCACTCATTTTGCTTTGTATATAGTCCGTAGTGAAATCTCTAGAAAAAATTATATTTAGGAACGGAGGGAGTACCTAGTTATGTAATGTAGGTACGTCAACAAAGAAAGGTGAGATGGATGGATACCCGACAAGGCCGGTCTATTATGCATTCGGCCAAGAATGACGTTTCCAACTTAGCATTACAAACACACGCCACTTGACTTGACTCCACATAAGAAATGACACGGCAGATAGTTGCATTAGTAACTACTAGCACAATCTAATAAGTACTGGACGACGAGCCAGCCAACAGCAATTAAAAGTAGCTAGGAATTGTCACACAGGACACAACAAACAGGTTCGTACAACACATTATTTTAGTAGACACATCGACTAGTAGCAGCAGCAAAGTAGTGTATGTATGCTAGCTGAATGGCATGGACGGACGGACGGACGGATCGATCGACGCCATAATCCGTCGACCGATTGGATCGAGTCCAACCAGCAGCCGGTGGTCACTTCTTGGGCGGTCCGTACTTGGGGCAGGCGGGGCTGAAGTGCTTGGAGAGCACCCTGGAGTTGAGCAGCTCGATGATGGGGCCGAAGGAGACGCACCGTGGCGCCTTGTACTGGTTGATGGAGGCGCCCCGGGAGATGGCGTAGTCCATCACCTCCTCGAAGGTGCCACCCCGCACCACCCTGATCTCCAGCGGCCCGATGGCGTCGCCGTTCCGCCCCTGCCGGTATACCGAGTTGAGCGCCTCCTCCATCTCCAGGCAGCACCGCTCGAACACCGCCGCCTCCGGCCACAGCCCCTCGCGGCAGTCCTTGAGCATCAGCTCCCAGTACACCACGTAGTGCCCCGGGATGGTCGTCGCGTCCGCCTCGCTCGTGTACTCCACGATGCTGGCCCCGTAGGGCGCCAGCAGCCTCGCCGCGCGCTCCACCGCCGCCTGCAGCTCCGCCTCGTCCGTCTTGTCCGAGTCGATGCTGAGGAGCACGTTCTTGCGCCGCACGAACCTGAACTGCGGCGCCGCGTTGTGGAACCCGGTCACCTGCAGGATGTCGCCCACGCGGTACCGGCACAGCCCGGCGTACGTCGTGATCACCAGCTCGTACTCCTTGCCGACCTCCGCGTCGGCGAGGTCCACGAGGCGCGGCGGCGGGTCGTCCATGGACACCGCCGGCGCCTCCGGGTCGTGCGGCATCAGCTCGAAGTACCCCATGTTGGGCATGATCGTGTAGGAGACCTCCGACGGGTCGCACATCGGGCGGAGGTTCAGCCCGAAGTAGCACTCCGAGGAGGCGTACATGGTGCACGCCATTGGGAGCCCGCCGCTGTAGAACTTGAGCGTGGGGATGTACTGCGCCATGGCCCCCGTCACGATCACGTCCAGGTACTTGGTGTTGGGCCACATCCTGGTGATGATCCCCTCCCAGTTGTCCTTGGCGCACTCCGCCGCCACGAACGCCGCGAGGTCCGGGTTGGGCTCGAGGACCTCGGCCACGGCGGCGCGGATGGACGGCTCCACCACCTTGGCGCTGAGCGTGCCGGTCTCGATGTCGCGGGCCAGCTCCTTCCAGTGGAGCTGCAGGAAGCGGATGGCACGGAGCAAGCCGGACGCGAAGACGGCGCCGACGCGGAGCACCTCGGTGCGCACCAGCAGGCCGCACAGCATCTGCGAGTACATGGACTGGAAGGAGTCGGTGCAGAGGATGGCCGGCGTGGGGCTGGTGTACACCTGGTACGCGTCGAACGGGCGGTACTTGAAGTGGTCGCTCTTGTAGTAGCTGGTCAGCACTGGCCTCGCCGGCAGCCCGCCGGGCGTCTTGGTCTCCGACTTGATGAAGAGGAAGTAGAGCCCCTTGCCCTTGTCCAGCCCCGGGACGAACCTGCATGCATGCCACGTTCTCATCCAATCAGTCACTCATGCATGCCATGCTTCCTCCATCATGTTTTTTTTTTTTTGCATTAAGTTTACCCCAAATTTTTTGATCTAGCTAGAAAGTGTTTTATACTACCCCAATTTGAATTTGATGCACGCCTAGCTAGCTACCTAGCTAGCAAGTGCTAATCATTGATCCGGAAAGGATCCTCATATTCATATATACATCGGCATAACGATCGATCGATGTTAACACGACCCGTATATATATATGAAGAAATCGAGCATTTGACCAACTGATCAATACTACATACAGTGCGTAGTTGTTGCACCGTTCTTTTCGCCGTGGATATATATATACACAACAATGTTGGAGCGGTGCAGACGGAAGCAAACGGATTTGTTTTTGCGCATGCAGTCTGCGCGCATACCTCTCAATCTCTATGTGTTTATGTATATATGCAAGTTGGTTGGGTCCTCTCCTCTCTCCGAATGTGCTGCAGTGGCTTATTCTGGCGGGACATGGAAGATATTGCACTTGTCGCCTTGTCACTCCAACGTCCCGGCCGGTTACGTGCGCACGTAGGCATCATGCGATAGACTTTGAAACGCCACAATGTTATTCTAGGAAGCTAGCCGGCCCGGCCGTTAGAGGTTTACAAATAGGCTAGGGGGAGGAATCTTGGCGCCTAAAAAGTAGAGAGAGGGAGAGGGATCGCCCAAGGCATCACTGGCGTCTAAGATACAAACACATTATTTTAGGCCCGGTGTGGATGAATGATTAGTTAGCGAGCGACCTCGACCCAGCAGGCAGTTGCCGCATTTCCTAGCCAAGCCCAGCTGAGGTCAGGAAGGAGGCCACAAACGCATGACTGCTAGCTCCATCATGCATGTCTGTTCCGTTATTTTTAGCATGTGTAACAGACTATTTCATGATTGATTGCCAAGCCTAGCAAGAGACATACGTATGTAGCTAGCGCTTAACTGAACCCCAGCCCAGCCCAGCCGTATATACAGACTTATTAGGTGATGTGATAATTAAGATAATACAGTAGGATTTGGTTAGCATCTCTAATACTCCCTCCGTTCCAAAATAGATGACTCAACTTTATACTAACTTTAGTACAAAGTTGGGTCATCTATTTTGGAACGGAGAGAGTAACTCTTAATTTGGATGCAGATCGATCGAGCAGTCGATCGAACGGGCATTAAATCCAGTCGTCGGTGCAATCAACCAAATTATGGTGAGGAAGAAAACAAATTAAAGGAGAAATAAGTAAGTAGAAGATGACAGTAAGAAGAGAGCTAGCACGCACAGGTTCATGACGGGCATGAGGAGGCTGTAGAGCATCTGCCTCCTGTCCAGCTCATCCTCGATGGTCGGCATTAGCTTCCTCTCCCCGGCTGACGTCCCCGAGCTGCATTAGTTAAGTAAAACGTCAATTTACCGGCCACTATGAAACAGCTAGCCTACTCATTCACTCAGCAAGGAAAAATTAAATGAGTACTCGGTGCTGGCTGGCTGGCTAGAGCACGCAAAGGGCAGGGAGGGAGAGGTGCATGGTACTGGCCTGGTCAAGAACTCGGAGATGGGGTGGGAGGAGATGATGTTGGAGCGGTCGCCGTTGGCGATGCGCTCGATCTCCGGGCGGAGGTCCTCGTAGGTCACCACGGGGACGCGGGCCTTGAAGGCGTCGCGGTCGGTGCAGCCCTCCATGCCGTGCCGGCGGAGGTACTCGGCGCCGTTGTTCCGCGCCAGGATCGCCGCCAGCACCCTCTGCTGCTCGTCGTCGAACCCCTTGGTCAGCTGCTCGATCAGCTCCAGCTTCTCCGCGTCCCGCTCGCACGCCGCCACCCCGAGCGCCGTCTTCACCCTCCCCACCGCCGGCCCCGCCCCAACCCCCGCCGCGTCCGCCGTCGCCGGAGCCATGGCGCGCAAAGCTAGCGAGCAAGGAAGGGAGTCGCCCGAGCTGTGTTGTTGCTGGGCGGGTCGATGGGTGTTTCTTGCCGGCTTGTTGCTCTGGCTGGAAGGTTTGGTTTGCGGAGTGTGTGTAAGGAGGCGGTTGGTTACGGGAGGCTGGATGGGTTTATATAGGGAGCCAGCGCGCCGGAGAAGGGGATGAAGCCATGCAGACGTCGCGGGAGGCAGGCGTGGCCCACGCGGAGGTCCCTGGCCGAGCCCGGCGGGGGCACGTGGGGCCGCGCGGTCGGCCACGTCGGACGGCGGCGGGGCCCCCGACGCGACTCGCGGCCGGCAGACCGGCAGGGGCCATTGCCACTGACGACTCGGCGCTGGAAGACACCAAAGCCTGGCTGAACTTGGCTTGGATGGTTCCGCTTGTCGCCCCGGCCTCGCTAACTTTGGATTACCTTTGGATTAATGGCTGGCTCATGCATTTACCCGACCGTTCCGATTAAACTAACGCGGCGATAGGATAGAAAAATGCGGCAGGGGTTTTGCTGCCTGGGCATAGGTGTCGACGCGCCATGGACCGATCCGATGAGAACGAGTTGAGCGAATTGGGGTGGGCAGAGACCGAAAGGAGAGACGGGCGCTTTCTTGTCTTTGGGTGGCCCGATCCAGCCATTTCCAGCATCTTAATCTTTTTTTTTGATAATTTCCAGCATCTTAATCTATCTCTTGCGTTTCGCATATTTTCTGTCTTTCTTTCTTTCTTTGCTAGAGAGGAAATCTGTTCCTAGACTTTTCAGTCTTGATGAGGACGTGGCGCCACACTTCTTAGATTGACTCCGTACCGTGCTGATATCTACCCCCCTCTCTATATATATCTATATCTACATTTATACCTATGCCTCTATCTATATTTATATCTTTTTATTTACGGGTATCTATACCTATATTTATACCCAAGTGATAAGTGTCACACGAGTGGCACGAAGCAATCCGGCCATGACATTTTTTACAACTAAAGTTGCCATCCGAAAAGAAAAAACAAACTAAAAAAAATGTAACTTGCCATCAGAAAAGAAAGTTGCCATGCTTGTCAACTAAAGTTGCTATCCTTGCGTCACTAAACTTGCCATAAAAAACATTTGGAGTGACCATGTGTTCGTGCCACACATACCTTATTTAGGGATATATCTATCTATGCTATTTTATACAAATAAAACAAGATGCATTTCTCTGAAGTTTTAGTGTGTTCATCATATAAAATTATTTTTTACATGACGTGGGTCAAGGGGCCCACTTCACATTTTTTCCTTCAACTGGGGTGCAGGAAAATAAATAAATTAGCATCTTCTTTGTAAACTACGCTCCGAGTAGGTCGACTGCAATTACATAATGCTTGCCGCGTTGGGTCTGAAAAAACCCTCCAACTCAATAAGTCGTCTCTTCTTGTTATCACTAAAAGTAGTATCATCTCACCCCTTAGAACAAAAACCATCAATTTATATACGTCTTGGAGTTGCCTATTATCAATCAACTCAATAAGTCGGCTTGGGAATCAATAAGCGGAGGATGAGGATAATGACGTGAGAAGAAGAGAATGAGTCTCGTTAAAGGAAGAATTGAATATGCCGTCCATGTGGTAATTAAGTGGTGCACAATTAAACGTCTTGCTGCATAATTAAAGGAGGTTGCACGTTGTGCATATTTGGATTCAGTAAGTGGTGCATAATTAGACAGAGGTGGACGGAAGACTGTGCATAATTAGACAGAGGTGGACGGAAGACTGCATTGATGAATGCGAAGAACCTTGTTGTTTGGGTACTAGAGTAGCCCCCCGAGGGAGAGAAGAAGGATAATGGAGTGGGACGAACGGAAATAAGTGGACACATGAGACTGATGGCCCAAAAGTATAGGGGATCAATCATAGTCCTTTCGATAAGTAAGAGTGTCGACCACAACGAGGAGTAGAAGGAAATGACAAGTGGTTTTCTGCAAGGTATTTTCCGCAAGCACTAAAAGTAGCGGCCATAGATAGTTTTGTAAGGATTCGTAACATGCAACAAGTAATAATAGTAGCAAAGATGCAGCAAGATGGCCCATTCCTTTTTATAGCAAAGGACAAGTCGGAACGTTCTCTTATAATAAGCAAAGGGTTCTCGAGGAACATGAGAATTCTTTTCTATTCACATTCATCATATTTAGTTGATTTGCGTTCGCTACTTTGATAATTTGATATGTGGGTGGACTGGTGCTAGGGTGTGGTTCTTACTTGAATAAACAACCCTCTTATGATTACCCCCTCTCGCAAGCATCCGTAACTATGAAAGAAGAATTAAGATAAATATGACCATAGCATGAAACATATGGATTCAAATCAGCCCCTTGTGGAATAAAGCATAAACTAAGGTTTAAACTTCTGTCACTCTCGCAACCCATCATCTACTTATTACTCCACAGTGTCTTTCCTTAGTCCCAAGTATGGTGAAGTGTCATGTAATTGACGTTCACATGACACTACTAAAGGAAGCAACAATACACATATCATAAAATATCAAACAAATACCAACTTCACATGATTACTTATAACAAAACTTCTCCCATGTCCTCAAGAACAAAAGTAACTACTCACAAATCATATTCAAGTTCAAGATCAGAGGGGTACTGAATATGCTTAAGGATCTAAACATATACTTCCACCAAATAAACCAACTAGCATCAACTACGAGATCTAATCAACACTACTAGCAGCCCACATGTACCAATCTGAGATTTTGGGACAAAGATTGAATACAAGAGATGAACTAGGGTTTGAGATGAGATGGTGCTGGTGAAGATGTTGATGAAGATTGGTCCTCCCATAATGAGAGAATCGTTGGTGATGTCGATGACTTCGATTTACCCCCTTCTGGAGGGAAGTTTCCAACGGAATCGCTCCGCTGGAGAGCAAAAGTGCTCCTGCCTAGGTTCCATCTCGAGACGGCGGCGCTTCGTCCCGATAGTCTTCTCCTGATTTTTTCTAGAGCAAATAACATCATATAGGAGAACATGGGCCCCGAAGGCCTGTTGGTGGGGCCACGAGCTCACAGGACGCGCCCTTGGGAGGGGGGGGGGGGCGCTCCCTAAGCTCGTCGCTCTCTGGTGGCCCCCTCCTAGTAAGTATTTCGCCAATATTTTTAATATATTTCAAGACAATTATCCGTAAATTCTCAGGTCACTTGAAGCTGCGGAGAATATCCAACTTGAAGGAAATATGCCCTAGAGGCAATAATAAAGTTATTATTTATTTCCTTATTTCATGATAAATGTTTATTATTCATGCTAGAATTGTACTAACCGGAAACTTAGTACATGTGTGAATACATAGACAAAACATATTGTCCCTAGTATGCCTCTACTTGACTAGCTCGTTAATCAAAGATGGTTATGTTTCCTAACCATAGACATGTGTTGTCATTTGATAACGGGATCACATCATTAGGAGAATGATGTGATGGACATGACCCATCCATTAGCTTAGCATTATGATTGTTACAGTTTCATTGCTACTGCTTTCTTCATGACTTATACATGTTCGCCAGACTATGAGATTATGCAACTCCCGAATACCGGAGGAACACCTTGTGTGCTATCAAACGTCACAACGTAAATGGGTGATTATAAGATGCTCTACAGGTGTCTCCGAAGGTGTTTGTTAGGTTGGCATAGATCGAGATTAGGATTTGTCACTTCGTGTTTCGGAGAGGTATCCCTAGGCCCTCTCGGTAATGTTCATCACTATAAGCCTTGCAAGCAATGTGACTAATGAGTTAGTTGCAGAATGAAGCATTACAGAACGAGTAAAGAGACTTGCCAGTAACGAGATTGAACTAGGTATGATGATACCAACGATCGAATCTTGGGCAAGTAACATACCGATGACAAAGTGAACAACGTATGTTGTTATGCGGGTTGACCGAGAAAGATCTTCGTAGAATATGTAGGAACCAACATGAGCATCCAGGTTCTGCTATTGGTTATTAACCGGAGATGTGTCTCGGTCATGTCTACATAGTTCTCGAACCCGTAGGGTCCGCACGCTTAACATTCGATGACGATTTATGTTATGAGTTATGTGATTTGATGATCGAAGTTTGTTCGGAGTCCCGGATGAGATCACAGACATGACGAGGAGTCTCTAAATGGTCGAGACATAAAGATTCATATATTGGAAGGTTGCATTTGGACATCATAATGGTTCCGAGTGATTCGGGCATTTTTCCGGAGTATCGGGAGGTTACCGGAACCCCCCGGGAGAAGTAATGGGCCTATTGGGCCTTATTGGAGGAGAGGAGAGAGGCCACAAGGGAGGGGCGCGCCCTCCCCTTGCCCAAACCGAATTGGACTAGGGGAGGGGGCCGGCCCCCCTCTTTCCTTCTCCCTCTCTCTCCCTTCTCTTTCCCTCCGGTGGAAGAAAGGAAAAAGGGGGGCCGAATCCTACTTGGACTAGGAGTCCAAGTAGGACTCCCCCTGGCGCGCCCAACCTAGACGGCCTCCTCTCTCCCTCCCTCCTTTATATACGTGGCCAGGGGGCACCCCATGGACACACAAGTTGATCTTTTAGCCGTGTGCGGTGCCCCCTCTCCTTCCTTCCCCATCTCTTTCTTGTGGAGGAATCCTACTAGGACTAGTAGTCCTAGTAGGACTCCCTCTCCTTGGGCGTGCCCCTAGGGCCGGCCAGCCTCCCCTCCCTCCTTTGTATACGGGGGCAGGGGGTCACCCTAGAACACTCAAGTTTCTCTTAACCTTGTGCGGTGCCCCCTCCATAGTTGCACACCTCGATCATACCATCATAGTACTTAGGCGAAGCCCTGCGCCGGTAGCTTCATCATCACCGTCACCACGCCGTCATGCTGACGGAACTCTCCCTTGGCCTCAGTTGGATCTAGAGTTCGAGGGACGTCACCGAGCTGAACGTGTGCAGATCGCGGAGGTGCCATGCGTTCGGTACTTGATCGGTTGAATCATGAAGACGTTCGACT